GTCCAGAGGATGTTTACAAGAATAATCCTAGGGATGAAGGGCTTGTCATATGAGGAGCGGGAGGACTCTGGGCCTGTACTTGGTGGAGTTTAGAATGATGCGGGAGGGGGGATTCTCATTGAAACGTACAGAATACAGAGAGGCCTGGATAGAGTGAAAGTGGAGATGACGTTTCCTCACAGGTTCTTGAGTGGTAAAGGGGTCAAGGGTTACGGGGAGAAGGCAGCAGAATGGAGTTGAGAAGCACATTAGCCACAATCGAATGGTGGAGCAGGCTCGATGGGCTGAATGGCCTAATTCTGCCCCCCAATCTTACAGATTTCCCAGAAAATCTCCTTGGCCACTCTCTGCATGAGATCTTGTGCAGTACTGTACACTCTTGTATCACTTCTGACTTGTTTGGGGTAAAGCTCAGAGTGAGACAGCGCTGTGCCCAAGTCCCCACTTTATTTAGTATTTTCCACTCCATGTTCCTGACACTGTAGATGTGGTGACATCCCTGCATACCAAGTCAGGCAGCAAGCTGCACTGTTAGTCCAAACACCAAGGTTAAATTTGACCAAGTGGCATCAAGAAGCCCCAGCTAAACTGGGGTCAAAATGAATTGGAGTGGGGGGATAAATCTGTGCTGATTGAAGTCGAATCTGACGTAAATTAAGATGGTTGTGGTTGATCATTGCAGTTCCATGACATCTCCCTGGCAGTTATAGAGTGATACAGCACAGAAAATAACCCTCTGGTCTTAGTTGTCCGTGCTGAACGAGTTTCCTAATCTAAACTAGTCCCATTTGTATGCATTTGGCCCTTATCTCTCTAAACCTTTCCTAATCATGTATCTGTCCAGATGTCGATTAAATGTCGTAACGGTACTTGCATCTACCACTTCCTCTGACAGTTCATTTCCACATATGCACCACTTTCTGTGTGAAAAAGTTGCCCTCGGGTCTCTTTTAAATCTTTCTCCTCTCACTTTAAAATTATGCCCTCTAATTTTGATCTTCCCTACTCTGGGCAAAAGATCTTTGCTATTCACCTTATCTAGGCCCCCCATGATTTTATGAACCTCTGTGAGGTCACCCCTAATCCTAGGTCCAACAATCTTCAGCTGCTTCATCAATGACCTTCGCTCCATCAGAAGGTCAGATGTGGGGATGTTCACCGATGATTGAACAACACTCAGCACTATTTGTAGCTCCTCAGATACTGAAGCAGTCCGTGTTCAAATGTAGCAGGACCTGGACAATATCAAGGCTTGGGCTGACAAGTGTCATATAACATTCACCTGGTAATAACCATCTCTAATAAGAGACAAACTAACTACTGTCTTGTGATATACAATCGTGTTACCATTGCTGAAACCCCACTATCAATATTCCTGGGGGTTACCATTGCCCAGAAACTGAACTGGACCAGCTATATAAATACTATGGCTGCAAGAGTAGGGCCGAGGCTGGCAATCTTGCAGAAGGTAACTCGCCTCCCAATTTCCCAAAGCCTGTCCACCATCTATAAGTCACAAGTCAGGAGTGTGATGGAATACTGCCCACTTGCCCAGTTGGCTGCAGCTCTGATAACACTGGAGAAGCTCGACACCATCCAGGGATAAAGCAGACCCTGCTCGATTGACACCTCATCCACCCCCTCCACCACCAATGCTCAGCCGCAGCAATGTACCGTCTAAAACATTCTCTGCAAAATCACCAAGGCTCGTTAGCAACTTCCAAACCCATGCCGTCTACCGTCTAGGACAAGGGGCAGCAGATACAAGGGAACGACACCCCCTGAATGTTCCCTTCCGACACACTTGTACCATCTGGAGTATTGTGCATACTTTTGGTCTCTTTATCTAAGGAGTGACTTTCTCGCCATAGAGAGTGTAACAAATATTCACCAGATTGATCACTAGGATGGTCTTGTCAGGAAATATTGAAGAGAATAGTTTATATTCATCGGAGTTTAATAGAATGAGAGGTAATTGTGTTGAAGAATGCAGAATTCTCATGGGGCTCAGCAGGGTAGATGCATACATGCAGTTGCCCCTTGTTGGGTGGGGGTGCGGGTGAGGTGGGGGCTGGGTTCTAGGATCAGGGAACTCAGTCTCGGAGTAAGACTGAGATGAAGAGGAATTCCTGCACTCTGAGAGGAATGAATCTTTGAAACTCCCTAAATGAGAAGGAAGCTCCATCACTGAGTACATTGAAGACAGAGGTTGGTGGGTTTCTTGGCATTGAAGATGTCAAGGCTAACAGAGATAATATGGAAAAAAGACGCTGAGGTGGAGAATAACCATGATCTCGTTGAACAGGACTGAGGGGCTGAATGCTGACTCCCGATCCTATTTCCCATGTTCCTTAGTCTTCAAATCTGTATTTTACAGAGTTTTGTACAGATTCTGTTATTTTGTGAACTCCTGGAAGTTTGAGCCTAGCTCTCTGTATTCATAGCTGAGAGAAAATGCAGTGGTTGGCCCTGCTGTCTCTCCTGTCCCCTCTTCACAGTGCATTTCCTCTTCCGCAAACATAACTCTGTTTCTTTTCCTGAGCCCACTTACTCAGAGGCTAAGCAACCCCCTGCCCCATGTCCCCCCACCTCCCCCTCTTCCTTGATCTAGTTGCTGGGACCTGTGAAGCAGAGTTGCTCTCCTGGGGTGAGGAAACCTGTACAACGGGCATACAGGAGTAGTAACACAGGGATATTTGGAGCAGTAACACAGGGATGTTTGAAGCAGACACTCAACCTCCTGGCTTAGCTGCGTGTGACCCTGTGTTTTTCTCCTGTATCTCTTAATCAGTCGGTGGCTTAGTTACATTTGCAAGGCATGACTGACACGAGACTCCTCAATCAGATGCTCTACTCCCAGCTCTGAAACAGCAGGCGAGCCCCAGGTGGGTAGAGGAAGCGCTTCAGCGATACCCTCAATGTCTCGCTGGGAAAGTGCGGCATTCCCACAGACACCTGGCAATCCCTGGCCCAGCAGCGTCCGGGAAGGCGTCAAGTCCCTCAAGACGCACTGTCGAGAAAATCGGAAGCCAGGCAAAAACAGCGAAAGGAGCACACTGCCACCCCAACGGCCCCCCAACCCTTCCCGCAACCACCTACTACCCCAAGTGTATCAGAGCCTTCAGTAGCCGCATCGGTCTGTACAGTCACTTACAGGCTCACCCTGAGAGTAGGAGAGAGTCATCCTTGTCTGCGAGGGACCACCAATGAATGAATACACTCGCAAGGCTCAGACTGCACCAGTTTGGCACTCAAACATCCCGGGCTCGCTTAGACTTGCTGCTAGGAGTGTTCGCTAAACCTAAATGGTTTGGTTTGCCGTTCAGGAAGTCACACTAAGAAGGGGGTCACAGAGGAACTGTTTGTCTCAGACCGTCCCTGGTCCTGAGCCCCACTCGGTGCAGGCAGGACACGGACATCCCACTGCAGCTCGCGCCCCGTGTGCCGTGATAACTCCCCCATCTTCCTCTGTCGCCACACTACTCCCTATTTCTGTCATCATCTCCAGTCCCCATGACTCTGAGATCCAGGCCCGCCTCACATTCTGGCTTCTCAGGCAGCTCTTATTTTAGTCACTCTCCGGCTGCCCCGCTCCCAGGCTCTGGAAACGTAAACCTGAATCTTTCCACCCTCCTATCTTGCTTTCCTTCTTTAAGAAGCGCTGGGAAACCCATCTCCTCGACCAAACCTTTTGGCTGCCGGCCCTTGTACGTACCTTGGCGTTTTGGTGTCGTCTTTTAATGCTTGCCTCTTGAAGGGCTCACAGTTAGGTTTTCTAAGGCGCCGTATGAGCGCAGCTGGCAGAAACCTCTTTTGCCATGCATATGGAAGTAGGCTGTATGTCTGAGGAAGTGAGATATTGCAGCAGGGGCTGAAGTCCAGATTGCTCAACCCGAAGGCCTTGTCAGCTCTGGGTTGTGGGGGATGCAGTGTGCGTCTGTGAAAAGTGCAAACCAATAAAGGGAGGGGTTCGGTAGGCCCCTGATCGGTGGAGGTATGCTGTGTGGTTTTTGGGTGGCAAAATAGGATTCAAGGTTTCAATGGGAGGTGGGAGACATGGGAGGAATTAGACTCATGGGCAGGAGCCCAGACTGGAACTATTCGAGGTGGACAGGTCAGAGCAATTGTAGCAAAACCAACAAGGGGTGTGTGTGTGAGAGAGAGGAGAGAAAGTGACTTTGGGGGAATGGACCACACACAATTTGCACCCACAGCCCAAGATAGGAATATGGGTGAAGTGTGGGGGGGGTTGGGGGAGGCGCAATGGGAAAAGTACGGACTGTACCAAACTGGTTCACATGTGGAGGGAGGGAAGGAGAGGAATGTACTGAACCAGTTGATGCTGGGAGGAAGGGAAGGGAAGGTGATGATGAACATTTTTTTACTCATTCATGGGGTGAGGGCAACGCTGGCCAGGCCAGCATTTATTGCCCATCCCTAGTTGCCCAGAGGGCAGTTAAGAGTCAGCCACATCGCTGTGGGTCTGGAGTCACATGTGGACCAGACCAGGTAAGGATGGCAGTTTCCTTCCCTAAAGGGCATTTAGTGAACCAGATGGGGTTTTTCCAACAGCGGACGATAGATTTACGGTCATCGTTAGATTTTTTTTTTTGTTGAATTCAATTTCCACCATTGCCATGGTGGGATTCAAACCCGCGTCCCCAGTACATTACTGGGGTCTCTGGATTAACAATCCAGCGATAGTACCACTAGGCCATCACCCCTATGTAGCAAACTGGAGGTGGTGGGGTGGGGGGCAGGGGAAGGTGGAGAATGATGGACAGTTCCAAACCCGGTTAAAGTGAGGAAGTCATGGGGTAGAGAGATTGACAGAACCAAATTGGTGGGTATTGTTGGACAGCAAAGGAAATGAAGTCGGGGCAGGGAGGTGAATTGCATTTAAATGTTGGATTATACTGTAGAGGAAATTGGGGGAGCTGCGAGTCAGGGAGGGCACTGTAGCGGGTCAGACGCTGAATGAGGATCTACTTTCAACCCAGCAGCCCCTCGCAGACATGGCCTGCGCCCTGCTCGGCAACGTATGCATCGTGACTGGAGCCTCCCGGGGTATTGGCAAGGGCATCGCGCTGCAGCTGGCAGAGGCCGGAGCCACTGTCTACATCACCGGGCGCAACATGGACACGCTGCAGACGACAGCGAAAGAGGTAAGGATCCCCTTGGGGGGAGGAGGGGTGATGGCACAGGGTTGTTCTGCATGTTGGTGACAGAGAAGAATAGAGTTAATGTGCTTCTCTGCCAGAGAAACTACTTTTGAGGCACGCGATGTGATGTGAGAAAACATGGGAACCTGGTTTAGGCACAGCAGGATCCCATAAGCAGCAGCACAGCTGGAGTGGAGGAAGGCCATTTGGCTGGTTGTGACTGTGATGTGTTTCCATGTGAATAATTCACACGGTTTTCTCTGTCTGTTCTCCCCCACTACTGTCAACCTCCTCCCTATATCCCCACGTATCTTTCCTTTTCAGGTAACTGTCTAATTCCCTGTTGAAATGGAAACAGGAATTGCTGGAAAAGCTCAGCAGGTCTGGCAGCATCTGTGTGGAGAGAAATCAGAGTTAACATTACAGGTCCGGAGGCCCTTCTTCAGGACTGACAGTAGCTAGGAAATTCATAGAATCCCTTCTGTGTGGAAGCAGGCCTTTCGGCCCATCGAGTCCACACAGACCCTCCAAAGAGCATCCCACCCAAACCCCTCCCCCTACCCTGTCCCTGTAACCTTGCATTTCCCATGGCTAACCCACCTAACCTGCACACCCCTGGACACTATGGGGCAATTTAGCATGGCCAGTCCACTCTAACATCTTTGGACTGTGGGAGGTAACCCACACAGACACGGAGAGATTTGTGCAAACTCTACACAGTCACTCAAGGCTGGAATCAAAACCAGATCCCTGGTGCTACGAGGCAGCAGGGCTAGCCACTGTGCCACCCATGCTTGTATACAGAAGATGAGGGGAGAGTAAATGATAGCTGGAGATAGAGCCCGAAGAGAGAGAGAGAAAAACAGTTGAACAGACAAAGGAGTGATTAAAGATCAGTCGGGGGGATGAATAGCTGCCAATGGAGACAATAAGTGGCTGACAATGGATAGTGTGTGGTAACAGCTTGTGTAATGACAAGGCCTGATGTGTGAGGGTGGGAGGGGGAGGGCTGGTGCTCAAATTGTTGAACTCAATATTTAGTCCAGAAGGCTGCAGGGTTCCCAAGCAGAAAATCAGGTGCTATTCTTCCAGCTTGCACTGAGCTTGGCTGGAGCACTGCAGCATATCTGAGACACAAATGTCAGCAACACAGGTGGGTGTGTTGAAGTGGCAAGCAACTGGAAGCTCAGGTTCTGTTCTGTCTGCAAAGTTCTCACCTGGTCTGCGCTTCATTTCCCCAGTGTAGAGGAGTCCTGTTGAGTTTTTAAATCCATGGGATGTGGGTGCTGATAGCCTGGGGTCCAGTGTTTATTCCCCATCCCTAGTTGCCCCCCTTGAGAAGGTGGGGCGGTGGTGAGCTGCCTTCTTGAACTGCTGCAGTCCCACGTGCTGTAGGTTAGCCCCACAATGCCCTTAGGGAGGGAATTCCAGGATTCGGACCCAACCACAGTGAAGGAACGGCCGATATATTTCCAAGTTGGTGTTGGGTTGGTGTTCTCATGTATCTACTGGCACCACCACCACCCCACCCCACCGCCCCCGCCCCTCAGGTCCTTCTAGATGGTAGAGGGGTGTCAGGTGCTGTCTAAGGAGCCTTGGTGAGTGTTTGCAATGCTGCTGCTGAGCACCGGTGGTGGAAGAAGTGGATATTTGTGGATGTGGTACCAAACAAGTGGAGGGCTCCTTTGTCCTTGAATGGTCTTGAGCTTTTCGAGTGTTGTTGGAGCTGCCCCCATCCAGGGCAAGAGGGGAGTATTCCATCACACTCCTGAATTGTGCCATGTTGATGGTGGGACAGGCTTTAGCCGGGGGTAGACGAGGTGAGTGGCTTGCTGCAGGATTCCCAGCCTCTGACCTGCTCTTGTAGCCACTGTCTTTACCTGGTATGTCTGATTCAATTTCTGGTCAATGTTAACCCCATCCTCCTCAGATACTGATGATGGGGAATTAAAGCCTCGAATAAACCTGCCTCCACCTGAAGAGGTGGGGGCTCTTTTTCTCTCCTTCCAGTAATGAAAACAGTTGTTCCTTCCATATTCGATCTAGACCCCTCCTGACTTTGATCCACTCCTGCCACATCTCCTTTGCATCGGGTATTAGCTGACTGTCAATTGAGGGAGGGATGGTAGACACCCCCCACCTCAAAAACCAGGTGTGTTGGTGGGAAGGTAAAGGAAGCTCCAGAGAGATGGCAGGGTCTTGGGCGTGGATGGGGGCAGGGCCCCTCATGTTCATGAATGTCTTCCTTTTCCAGGTGGAGGGGCGGGGAGGCAGATGTGTCCCTGTGGTGTGTGACTCTTCCAGCGAGGAGCAGGTCTGCTCGCTTTTCAGCCAGGTCAAGCAGGAGCAAGGTGGGCGCCTGGATGTGCTGGTCAACAATGCATATGGAGGAGTCCAGGTAAATGTGTACGAACACACCCCACACCCTGCCGAAGCATACATCTGTCCATCGAAACACACACCTCACCCCTCCAATCTCATCCAAACACTCCCCCCAACCCCACCATCAAAACACTGTCCCCCCCCCCCCCAATCCCATCAAAACTCTACCCCCAACCACCAAATCCCATCAAAACTCTGACCCCGACCCCAACCCCAATCCCATTGAAACACTCCCCCCACCCCTCCAATCCCATCGAAATACTTGCCCCCTCCATTGAAACACGCTGTCGCATTGAAACATGTCCTCCCTCCATCGAAATATGCCCCCCCAAATCAAAACATGCTGTCCCATCAAAACTCTCGCCCCCAAACATTGCCTCCCCCATTCGAAATACTTGCCCAACCCCCTCCCTCATTGAAGTACTCCACATCACTCTTCCAATCAATACAACTCCTCCCCTATTAAAAGACATACCCCCACACCTTTCCCCTGTGTAGTGCAGGCTGAATTATTCTGCTGCTGAGACTGATAACATGTCATGTTCACAACAACAGCAATACCTTCTGTTTCTACAGCATCTGTTACGTCACAACTATCCACTGATTCTGTTACTAATCCAAACTTGACGCTGAGCCACATGTTAGGACAGGTGACCAATAACTTGGTTTTCAGTGGTAGTTTTCAAGGGACATCTTATCAGAAGAAGGCAAGGTAGAAAGGTGGAGGGAATGTTGGGTTTTGGCACACACACAAGTAAAGGCCAGAACTGGTAGACTGATGAAAATCTGGGCAGTCCAAGAGACCTGGGTGCCTCATGAAGCCTGTGGAGAAAATGGAGAGGGTGGGGGGTGGGTGACTGAGGATGTAGAGGACATTGAAAACAGGGATGAGAATTTTAACATCCACATTCTGCTTAACCAGGTCCTATCGTAAGGCAGTGAGCATGGAAGTTCGATAAGGAAACAGAACGTGATGTGAGTTAAGAAACAGGCAGCAAACTCTCAGACTGACTCCAGTTTGTGAAGGATGGTGTGCACCAAAGTCTTGGAATAGCTGTGTCTGGGAGGTCACCAAGGCTTGGGCAGGGGGGTAGCGTACACTTGGCATCCCGAACAAGGGAACAGAACCTTAAAAGTAGACATTGGCCGTTTGGGGACATGGCGGATATGGAGATGTAGCCTCGTTTGACTGGATTAATCTTTTATATTGTTTTCATAGGCGATACTCAACAGCCAGGGTAAAAAGTTCTGGGAGATGCCAGCCTCTTTCTGGGACGATATTAATAATGTTGGGCTGCGGTGAGTGTGTCAAGGAAGCTGTTGATGGTCCGTTCTGTCTTTCCCAGCTCAACCTATCGTGTGAAGTGCATCCATTCGATCACTGTATTCATGCCCTGGGTTTCCAGATTTGTGTGTCCTGATCTGGGTGAGGAACCGATTCTGCCTGCTTGTGCACATCCTCACCATCCCATCTACATGCTCACTGATCCACGTCTCTCAGGCCCTTGTGCGTCTCAATTTTTAAAGAGGAAATCTCGCTCTCATTGTCAAATCCTTCCGAGGCCATGATCCCCCCCCCCCCCTCCCCCACCCCCATCCCTAACTTCCCACTTCAGTAAATCTCTGCAGCTTCTCAGCCCTCCCTAGACCAATACACTGTTTTAATACACAATCCGTGTTTTAATTCACTGCCCTTTTAAGATGTCTTTGACATTGAATGGCATTGCCTTTGCTGAATCCCCCCACTATCTACATTCCTGGGGGTTACCATTGACCAGAAATTGTCCTAGACAGCCCCATATAAACACAGTGGCCACAAGAGCAGGTCAGAGGCTGTGAATCCTGTAGCAAATAACTCCTGTCTCCCGTCACAAGTCAGGAGTGTGGTGGGATACCCCCCACTTGCCCTGGATGGGGGCAGCTCCGACAACGCTCGAGAAGCTGGACACCATCCAGGGACAAAGCAGCCCCCACCGCTCGATTGGCACCACATCCACAAACACCCGCTCCCCCCACTGCTCAGGCACAGTCACAGCAGTGTGTACCATCTACAAGATGCCCTGCAGAGACTCACCGAGGCTCCTCAGGCAGCCCCTTCCAAACTTGCACCCCTCTACCATCTAGAAGGACAAGGGGGAGGCAGCAGATACATGGGAACACCAGCCCCCTGCGAGTCCACCCCTCCGAGCCCACTTCCCATCCCAACTTGGAAATATATCGGCCGTTCATTCAGCGTGACTGGGTCAGAATCCTGGAATTCCCTCCCTGAGAGGGACATTGTGGGTCTACCATACAGCACATGGGACTGCAGCGGTTCAAGGGGGCAGCTCACCCCCACTTTCTAAATGGTGGGGGGTGTGTGGCAACTAGGGACAGGCAACAATTGCTGGACCTTGCCAGTGACATGAGTGAATTTTTTAAAAGTGGTACCTGTCTCTTTCACAGTGGCTTTACCTTCTTACCCAAATATCTCCTTATGTTTCTTGATGTCGCATTTTGTTTGGCAATATCCCGGGAATTGCTGCTAGTTGGGACCTGGGCAGCTGAGATTTGGATGAAATGCGGGGTTTTCTCCCTGTCAATACAAATTTTTAAAATCCCTTCACAGGGTGATGTGTGGGTGGGTGGGAGGTCAGGAGGTCATAGCTGGCTAGACCAGCATTCGTTACCCCCACCTTGAGAAAGTGGAGGTGGTCTGCTTTCCCGAACTGCTGCAATCCATGTGGTGCAGGCAGCTCAGACCAGGCCATTCACTGGGTAAAAACAGTTCTTCCCTGTATTCCCCTACCCTGTCCGATGCCCAAAATCCACAGTGTGCTGCGTTCGCTGATATGTGCGTACACTCTGTGTGCCACTGTAAATCACATGTGCACAGGTTTCAAGGGGAGGGGGTGATGGTGGTAGTGAGACAGGCTGCGAAAGGTTGGGTGCTGTGGAGAGATGGGAAGAGCTGAGAAGGGAGCGGGAAACATCAGGACCTGGATGGATGGCATTGGAACGTAGGAAATGGGGTGTGGAGAGATCCAGGCAGGGTGCAAAAGGGAGATAAGGGGAGGGGAGAGGGATTTCCACGGCTTGAGTCCTTCCTCTAGCCCCCTCCTGTTCTGCTCCTGGGCCATTTGCCATTTCCACTCTGGTACTATCAGCTCCCCCACCCCACTCCTTCAGGCATCCCCTCCACCCACCACCGAACCCCAATTTGAAATTGTGTACCCTTCGCTGCACGAGCGCAGTTCTACACTTAGGCATGACATTACACATAAAGTCCTGTTATAGGAAATATATTATTAAATTGGAGGGGGCTCAGAAAAGATTTACCAGGATGTTGCTGGGAATGGAGGGTTTGAGTTATAAAAATAGCCTGGGACTTTCTTCACTGGAGCATTCGAGGTTGAGGGGTGGCCTTATAGAGGTTTATAAAATCACGGGGGCCGTAGATAAGGTGAATGACAAGGGTCTTTTCCCTAGGGTGGGGGAGTTCAAAACTGGGAATCATATCTTTAAGGTGAGAGAAAAAAGATTCAAAAGGGACACGAGGTGCAACGTTTTTTTACACAGAGAGTGGTTCAGGTGTGGAATGAAGTCCTGAAGAAGTGGTGGATGTGGATACGGTTACAACATTTGAAAGACATTTGGATAAGTACATGGATAGGAAAGGTTTGGAGGGATATGGGAGCAGGCAGGTGGGACTAGTTTAGTTTGAGAACATGGTCAGCATGGATTAGTTGGACCAAAGGGTTTGTTTCTGTGATGTATGATTAAGACTGTATGTGATGCTATATTGTGTATTGTTACCCCCGAGCTCTTTTCTGTTAAAGCACTTCACAGCCTTTGGGACTCGACAACGAGGTTAGCAATCTCAAAATCCTCCATTTTAATGACACTGTCCCCTCCTCCAGATCTGTCTTGTTTGTGACTTGTTGGCTTGTGTCCTGTTGATTTTGCTGTCATCAGTGTAGACGCGTTCCTCTCCAATCGGACCTACCATTTACACTTGACTGTGTTCCAATGAAACACAACATAAACTCGAGGAACAGCACCTCGTTTTCCTCAGAGGCACTTTTACAGCATGGAGGTCTCCGTATTGAATTCTAGAACTCGAGAGCCTGACTGCACGTATGTTCTCCAGTTTTCTTATATCCCCTGACTCCCCCAACCACTTAAGGAGCTTTAAGAGCTGTGTTTTGTTCCGTGTTTTTTTTTTGTGAAGACAGGATGAAAGAGGTGATGAGCGGTCTGCTCAGAGCTATTTGAGTAAACCTCTTGTGAGGCCTTGGGTATTTTTTTAAAAGTTGGAACAATAGAAGCAGTGTGAATGGATGCGGTCAAGATCTCTCAGAACCAGGACTTTTGGTTTTAATTTTTCAGTAGCAGCTCCTGGGGTCTTGAAACTGGGTTTGGAAGTGTCAGTACAACTCGCCCTGCTACTCTCTCTCTCTCTGAGTTTTCTCTTGATGTTTTTTTTTTCCCTAGTGGACTGCAGAATTGCACATGAGGCGATCTATTTTACTGAATTTGCCTTTTGCCAAGGGTATGTTTATGGAATGTTACGGTATTAGAACAGTTGCTATTTAGTTGTTATTCCAATTTCTTCTTTCATTCGTTGTATTTTAACTGTAGTGTATGAATAAAGTGAGTTTTGCTTCTTGAATGGTAGTTTGACCAATCGAATTGCGTCTGGACTGCCTGGCACTTAACTTTAAAATAAGAAAAAGTTAGGGTCTAGGCTATATTCTGAATATTTTGAGGGGGTTTGGTCTGGTCCGTGTCACACTACACACACACTCTTGTCTTGTTGGTGTCCTTTCTTGTGCCCTCAATAGAGAGGACCCACTCTCTTCTTTTTACACCTTAATTTAGAGCTATTATACATTTCCTTTACTCTTTCACTCCCATTAACAATATTCATTATCTTTTGCGATGGGTGTCTACATCATCTGTTCTCTCCACTTTTGACAAGCATTACTATTTTCACAGACCCTTTCAGTTATGAAGACGAGGCCGACCAGACCCGAAAGCATTTTGACTCCTCCACATCAGCTGTCCCTCTGGTAGAGTTTCCAAAGGGAAACACCTTTGACCACAAGTCCATCAGGTTTTGGTCAGCAGCACCTTGGTCAGTGACTTGAGACCCTGTGGGAAAAGGACAGTGCGGATCTTGTTGGGTTGTTCCCTGTACAGACTGTCAAAGTCATTTGGCAGAACGCCTAATCGCCAGGACTTTTCCAGCAAACACCAAGACATCGCTTGGCTGGTGGTGAGAAGGACACTGCCTGTCAGATCCCTCGTGACCACCTGATCTCTGTGCGCCACCACACACTGCCCTTGATGCGGGTATGGAGGGGTGGGTATGGACTGTCATACATTTCCTGCTGGAATGTGATTTTTGCAATGAGAGTCTGGAGAGAGAAATGCAGTGTTTTTTTTTGTTGGGGTTTGTCCTGAGCAGCTTTATGATGCAGGACTCTGTGGTCTAAGGGCTGTTCCCCAGATGCACGCTGATCAGACACCAACTGCACCTGGAGGTCAGTCAACTCGGTGAAGGACACTCTCTGGCCTGCCCGAAACCTGTTGGTCTTCCAGACCAAGGAGTAAACCCCAAACAAGTGTTGCAGACTGGCACATTCCAAGGTCCAGGACTGTGTGCTGAGGGATGCACTAAAGCTTGGGACAGCTTGCCACCAAGACACAGTGGGGAAAGATCACTCTCTGAGGTCTCGGAGATAGTAAGAGCTGCCGATGCTGGAGCCAGAGACAACATAGTGTGGAGCTGGAGGGGCACAGCAGGTCAGGCAGCATCAGAGGGACAGGAAAGTCAATGTTTTAGGTCAGGACCCTTCATCAGTTCTGATGTCTTTCTGCCAAAGTCCAAGATAAAACTAGGGTCTGTTCAGTTCTCAAACCTGTCATTGCATCACAATGTATGTAAACTGAGTACAAAATGCCTTTGTTTGCAACTGCAGGCAGACCTTGAGAAATATCAAATTCCAATTCTTTTCTCCCTGTCTGCAAAGACTGAACAGAGCAGTTTTAGTACCTTGTATATGTGCATAAAGATTATTATTTTGTGAATAAAGTATATTTTTGCCATTTACAGCATCTACAGATGCTGCCAAACTTGTGGAGTTTCTCCAGCATTCTCTGTTTGTTTGAGATTTCCAGCCTCCACAGTGTTTCGCTTTTAACGTTAATGCCTATGTGACTTCTCTCCTTTACCAACACTCCCTCTGCCGTTCGCTGTGTGCAACTTCACCATCTCCTCTCTCTCTCTCCTCTCCCTCTATCAACAGTGATGGGCAATGAATGCTGGCCTGGACAGTCATGGCCTCATTCAGATTAATGTTTCCTGTTTTCTATTTTTCTTAAAAGGAAAGGATGTGTCTGCTTCTCCTGCCTGTTTAAACCTGTGAAATTGTCGCAAAGTTCTCCCCTCCCAGTGGTGAGCACTTGGTCCAGGTACAAGGGGATGTGGCAGTGAGTCAGACACTGAACTTTCACCGTCTGGGACACCCAGGGTCAAATCCAGCCCCAGGCAGCGGCATTTGTGTGTAATTCAGGTCATCTGCTTGCCCCACTTCATGATCTAACGCTCGCCCCATCTGGGTGGTGGTAGAGTCATACCAACACGGCAACAGACCCTTCGGTCCAACCAGTCCATGCCGACCATAATCCCAAACTAAAATGGCCCCACCTGACAGGCCTGAGGTAGCTTGGCCTCGAGTCAACGTGCCGTGCCAGATTGGAGCTGGAGGGGGCCGTTTTGGGGATGGATGAGCAGGGGCAAAGAGCCCAAAGGGTTGACCAACCTTCCCTGCTTTCTCCTGCAGGGGCCACTACATCTGCTCTGTGTATGCAGCTCAGATGATGGTCGAGGCAAAGCGGGGACTGATTGTGATCATCTCCTCGATGGGGGGCCTGCGCTACATGTTCAATGTGGCGTACGGAGTTGGCAAGGCCGCGGTGAGTAGATGGGCAGAGTGAGGGGCCGAAGGGTTATTTAGTCACTTTCTGACAGTTGTATTGAATCCAGATCTCTAGTCTCTCAAACTTGCCTGTCTCTCTCTCTCACTGTCTCTACCACTATCTTTCTTCCCCCTGCCCCGTCATCTCTCACACTTTCTCTCTCTCTGTGCTTTTCTCTCTCCCTCTATTTCACTCTCTCTGTCCCCCATACTCTTTGTCTGTCTCTTTTGCTCTCACTTTCTCTTCCTTTTTCTGTTTCTTCTTTCTCCCTTTCTCTCCCCCTTTCTCTTTCTTTTCTCATTTCTCTCTGTCTGTCTTTCTCACCCCCGTCTCTCTCTCCTCTCTCTGTTATCCTCGTGATGTGTCTGTTTCTGTTTTTGCATCTGTCTCTGTCATTGTCTATCTCACACACACTCATTCTGTCAATATCTCAAACACTCTCTCTTTCTGTCTCACTCTTTCACACAGACTCTTTCTCTCATTCTCTATGTCTGTATCTGTCTCACTCTCTCTATCAGTCTCACACTATCCCTTTCTCTCGTTCTCTCTCTTAATATGCCTCTATCTGTTACTATCTGTGTCTTGCTATATGTCTCTATGTGTGTCTTCCTCTCTATCAGTCTGACTCTTTCTCATTCTCTCTCTGTCTTCTGTCGCTCTATCACACAATCATTCTCCCTCTCTGTTTCTGTCTTACTCTCTCTATCTCACATTCTCATTCTCTCTCTCTCTTTTTCTGCCCCAGCAGTCTGTCTTGCTCTCTCTCACACACCCTCTTTCTCTCTGTTGTCCTCAGTGTGATCGAATGGCAGCAGACTGTGCTGAAGAGTTGCGGAGACATGGTGTGTCGTACATATCTCTGTGGCCTGGGGCAGTACGAACTGAAACCGTAACCGATTTGATCATCAACCGGACTGCCAAGACCAAAGGAGAACAGAAAGTGAGTGAGACAGCGAGAGTATGAACTCCAGAGGCATGAGGAGGAATGATTCATAAATTCATACAGTGCAGAAAAGGCCCTTCAGCCCATCGAGTCTGTACCCACATAATTACCACCTAAAGTGCACTATTCCCAATTTCCTGCCCTTGTCCCACATCCTTGAATGTTGCAATATTTGAAATGCTCATCCAGTATTTTTTACAGTTTGTATGGCTTCTGGCTTCCACTCCCTTCCCAGGCAGTGCATTCCAGATTCCCACTGAATAAAAAGGTATTTTTCCTAAATCCCCTCTCAATCTCCTGCCCCTTACCCTAAAACTACGCCCTCTTGTGACTGACCCCTGAACAGCTACTCACTGTTCATCCTGTCCATCCCCCTCATAATATTATACACCTCAGTCATGTCCCCCCATCAGTCCTCTGTGCTCTAAAGAAAACAATCCTAGTCTGTCTAGTCTCTCTTTATAGCTCAGTTTCTCCATGCTAGGTGACATCCTGTAATGAGGAAGTACCAGGTCTTCAACAGGGAAGCAGGAAGGGAGTGGGTGGGCCAGCTCCCATAGCAGGGCTATGATACTGAGGCCAACTGATTGGTCAGCTTGGGATGGAGCTCCTTACGAGCCGCTCAGAGCATTGGATGTCAGGTTTAGAGGATATTCAGCAGCTCCCGAACCTGTCATACAGGAACAGGAGGAGGCCATTCAGCCGCCTTTAAACCTGTTACACAGGAACAGGAGAGAGATTATGTGGGTGAAAGGGAGAGAGAGAGAGAGGACATGCTGAGGGAGAATTGTCAAGGTTTTTTAAAATTCATGTATGGGATATGCAGGTCACTGGATAGACCTGCACTTGTTGCCTGTCCTTCATTATCCCCTTGAGAAAGTAGGAGTGAACTGTCCACTTTACCCGCTGCAGTCCGAGTACCGTAGGTAGACCCACAATGCCCTTAGGGAGGGAATTCCAGGATTCTGACCCAGTGAGAGAAGGAGATGGGGAGAGAGAGCAGAGTGAGGGGAGGAGGTGGGGAGAGAACATGCAGCGTAAGGGGAGGAGATAGAGTTGGGCACAGTAGGAAAGGAGTAAGGGGAAAAGAATGCAGGCTGAAGATAAGAGTGTGGGAGACAGTGCAGAGTGAGGGAAGGAGGGAGTTGGACAGAACGAGAGGGTAATTGATGTGGATCCCTAGTCTTCAGCTTCCTGATGTTATCCCATTTGGATGTGACATGGTTAACCATTAAGAGGGTGATAGCTGAAACCTCTGTCTTGTCTGGTTTCAGACGGTGGAAATGTTTGCCAACGGTGAGACCCCTGAGATGAGCGGCAAGTGCATCGTGGCTCTGGCGACAGGTCTGTAAATCCTTCATCGCGTGGGATGTCCGTGATCCAATTAGATCCTCATCTGTACTCTTGAGGGGAGTTTGGGGTTTATTGCTGAAAGGGGTAAATTGATACTTAGGATAGGTGCTGTGCTAGTGAGAGACGTCTGTTTGAAACTCTGGCATCAGCACACAATCTTAGTCCTCATTTCTGATGGCTATAATTCGAACCTGCCCGGTTCTCACACTCTGTGTGAGGGCGGGTTTAACACTTGACTGCCGAATAGCTACAATTTTCGAGCTCTGCTTCGTTCCACGTCCACTGAAGGTATGAAGTGTGCCATCTGGTTTCAGCACGGCTCAGGACCTGAGAGCGAGAGAGGATTTACTGCTCCTTGGCCGTGACACCGGATTTGTATGGAGTAAGAAGTCAATTACAGAGGGTAACAGAGGAGAGGTGGCTAAGGCCTGCTGGGTAAATAGACAAAATAAACAGCAGCAAGCATTTCAAATGTTCAACAAAAATGTGCTCCGTTGAGAAACAAAAAATCAGCAAGTAAGATCCATCTGTGGCTTACTCAGGAAGCTAAAGATAGTAATAGATTAATAGAAGAGGCTTATAGTATTACTGGAGAGGAGCAGCAAGTCAGGGGTTTTAGGAGTGCTTTAAGAATTAACAAGAAGGACTACCAGAATGTTGATGAAAATGGTAATGGAATGACAGTAAACTACTCTTGAATGTAAATACAGATTGTAAGAACTCCTTCAAGCATATTAAAAGGAGGAGAGTAGCTAAAGTAAGCTTTGGTCCATTGGAGGCAGAGTCTAGCGAAATTATTACGGGGAGTAAGGGAATGACAGAAACGTTGAGCAAATGTCTCTTCACAGTAGAAGACACAAGTTACACACCAGAAAGAGACAGTAACCAGCCAACTCATAAGACTTAGAAAATTGAGATAATGTAGATCAGTACAGCCAAAGTTCTCAAGAAACTGAAGGGATTAAAGTTCTGCAATATCCCATGGACCTGATGGTCTCCATCCTAGGATCCTAAATAAATAGGTCTGAGACTATAAAGGCACTGGCTATAATTTTCTAAACTTCACCAGACTCTGGAGTAGCCGCAGTGGATTGGAAGGTTACAGATATAGCATCATATTTGAGAATGGAGGGAGCAAGAAAACAGATTTACCAGCCAGTTAGCCTGACATCAGTCATCAGCAAAGTGTTTGAATCTATTAATGCATCTAGGAAATTACTTTACAAACAAAGTCAACGTTGTTTCACAAAGAAGAGATTGATTTTAACAAATTGTTCAAGTTTTTGGGTATGTGGGCTGTCTCAGACTGAGCTAAGGATAAATATCTTCCTTGGAGGTTTGTGAAAGTCTGGAATTCCCTACCCTAGAGAGCTGGGGGATGCTCCATCGTTGAAGTCCAGGATCAATAGATTAGCAATCTCTTAGAGAATTGAGGGACGCAGGGAGCAAATAGGAAAGTGGAGCGAAAGTCCCCAAGATTAGCCAGGATTGTAACAAATGGCGGGGTAGACTGGACAGGTTGAATGGTCTACTGCTCCAGCCTCTGATAGTAGCATGTCAGAGGAGAGGAGAGTCCTGTGCCTGGCTGAATGTTCCCTTCCCTGTCTCCTGCAACAGTCACTGATACCCCACTTAAGCTCACCTCTTCACGGGTCTTGTTTGCAACTTGGGGCATGCTTTAGCATGATGCCCATGACCAAGTTATCTTGTTTGTTCACTTGTGAGGTGTGGGCATCACTGACTGCCCAGTATTATCACCCGTCTGTGGTTGCTCCTTGAGTAGGTGGGAGTGAACTGCCTTCTTCTACTGCTGCAGTCCACATGCTGTAGGTGGACTCTGAATGCTCCCTTAGGGAGGGAATTCCAAGATACTGACCCAGCGACACTGAAGCAATGGCCGATATATTTCCAAGTCAGGATGAGCAGTCGCTTGGAGACAAATGTGCAGTGGGTGGTGTTCCCATGCAAGTGCTATCCCTTGTCCTTGTGGGTGATAGAGGACATGGGTTTGGAATGTGCTGTCTGAGGAGCCTCGGTGAATTTCTGCAGTGCATCTTGAAGATGGTATTGTTACAACGCAGAGGTCGTCATCTCTCTGATAATTAAAACCAAAACACGCAGAGAAGCTCGCCTCACCTCGTAATCTGTTAAAAGGAAATGTGAAAAGTGGTGTAACCTGCCACTCACCTCCCTAATCTGTTATAAAGGATAGGTGAAATAAAATGAACTCCTGACAGTCACTCTACAATCAACAAGTAACAATTTATTTATCTAATTCCAACAGTTAACAAATTAACAGAACTACTAACGAACCGAACAATCCCCCCATAACTACTAACTATTCCCAAATAAAACAAGATTCTAATGGTATTCTGTTCCAATAGATACAAGTCCTACTTATATAAACCAAATTAATAATTAAAAATTAAAACTTAGTCTCTCAATTACAGTCAGGATAAGTCTTCTGGAATGTTCTCCGCTGTCCTCCAGTCAGGAACACCTTCCTCTGTAAAATTCTTGTCAGGAATATTAACTAAAAGTGCAGTAGTACCTATATTTAGGAGGTGCTTACTCTGAGAGTTTAGAGATTTCTGTGAGACCCAGTGAGTTTCTCTTCAGATTACTCTCACCCAGATTTTCAAATACCCTCTTTTTTTAATATCCTTGATGACGTATTAATTTCTTACAATAGGATCAATCCTAGGTTGTCAAAACTGTCTAGTTTAAATTTAATTGGGTTTTGGTACGCAGGGCCTGGTTTAAATTAATTGGCTAAATTCAAAAACTGTTGTCTTGGTAAAAATGCTGCTTTGCTTGTTAACAGTATCGCCTTTTGATACCGTGTTTCAGTTTCAGTTTCAGTAACTCTGTGCATCTGCTGCTGCCTGCAGACTTTTCCTTTAATCCCCAAGCCTAAAAAGCACATCATCATTTAAAGGGACCACGCACTCTTTCCCCTTATCAGTTTACAAACATCAAATACTCTACCCAACTTTGCAACACTGCTGCTACTGAGCGTCAGTGGTGGAGGGTGGGGATGTTTGTGGATGTGGTGCCAATCGAGCAGGGGCTGCTTTGTCCTGGATGTTATCAAGCTTCTTGAGTGTTGTCGGAGCTGTCCTCATCAGTGGGGAGCATTTCACCACAATCCTGACTTGTGTCTTCTAGCTGATGGATAGGGAAGTCAGGAGATGAGTTATTCGCCACAATCTTCCCAGTCTCTGACCTGATGTTGTACTCACTGTGTTTATGTGGTGAGTCCAGTTATGTTTCTGGTCAATGGGAACTCCAGGATGTTGATTTTGGGGGATTCAGTGGTGGTAACACTATTGAATGCCAAGGGGCGGTGGTTAGATTGTCTCTTATTGGTGATGGTCATTGCCTGGCATTTGTGTGGTGCGAATGTCACTTGCCACTTGTCAGCCCAAGCCTGGATATTGTCCAGATCTTGTTGCATTTGAACATGGACTGCTTCAGTATTGCAGGAGTCGCAAATGGTGCTGAACATGGTGCAATCATAGCGACCATCCCCATTCCTGACCTTACGGTGGAGCGAAGGTTATTGATGAAGTAGCTGAAGATGGTTGGGCCTAGAACACTACTCTGAAGAACTCCTGCAGAGATGTCCTGGAGCTGAGATGACTGACCTTAAAAAACCACGACCATCTTCTTATGTGTCAGGTATGACTCCAACCCCCCTGATAGCCATTGATTCCAGTTTTGCTAGGGCTCCTTGATGCCACACTTGGTCAAAACAAGCCTTGATGTCAAGGGCTGTCACACTCACCTCACCTCTGGAATTCAGCTCTTTTGTCCATGTTTGAACCAAGATTGTAATGAGGCCAGGAGCTGAGTGGCCCTGGTGGAACCCAAACTGGGAGCCATTGAGCAGTTATCGCTGAGCAGGAGCTGTTTCATAATGTTGTTGGTGACACCTCCATCACTTTACTGATGGTCGAGAGGAGACTGATGGGGCGGTAATTGGCCGAGTTGGATTTGTCCTGCTTTTTGTGTTCAGGACATACTTGGGCAATTTTCCACATTGTCAGGTAGATACCAGTGTTGTAACTGTACTGGAACAGCTTGGCTAAGGGAGCGGCAAGGTCTGCAGCACAAGTCTTCAGTACTATTGCCAGAATGTTGTCAGGGCCCGTAGCCTTTGCAGTCTCCAGTGTCTCCAACCGTTTCTTGATATCATGTGGAGTGAATCAAATTGGCTGAAGACTGGTATCTATTGCTGGGGACCACTGGAGGAGGCCGAGATGGATCATGCACTCAACACTTCTTCTGGCTGAAGATCGCTGCAAATGCTTCAGCCTTATCTTTTGCACTGATGTGCTGGGCTCTTCCATCATTGAGGATGGGGATGTGTGTGGAGCTTCCTCCTCCAGTGAATTGTTTAATTGTCAGAGATCAGAACATTGGTGAAATCCCATCAGCCTCTCATCATACTCGCAAGGGATTCAGTTCTCTCTCAGCCCTCTCACAGTTCGTCCGCTCTGTCTCCATCAGATAAGAACCTGATGAAGAAATCGGGCAAGGTGCTATTGACCTGCGACTTGGCCGCACAGTATGGACTCCGAGACGTGGATGGTGAGTAGTCGGGGGCCATCTGATCTCTTTGACGGTCTGTCTTGGAGAGGGTGAGGGCAAAGCCTGCAGCAGTGGTTGAGGATAACTCTCTGTCACAACAAGGCAGCCTCCGTGTGGCAGGGGTGTGAAAGGAGGGAAACAGTGGGAAGGGAAGGGGCAGAGAGGTAGAGAGAGATGGGAAAGAGCGACAGCAGGAAGATTGGAGGTCGGGGCTGTAACCTTTCTCCAAGGGGGTGGGGGGGGGGAGGTGCGGTGACCTCCATCCAAAGGGAGTGTGGGTGGGTGCCTGCTCCTTCATCTCGGTGAGAGGTTAGGCCGGTGACCTCAGTCTGATGGGCAGGGGCCTGGTCAGTGTGAGCGTAAAAGTGAAGCCAGTGATTGCAGGGGTGGAGGTTGTGAACTGGGTGATCGAAGTGGGGCGGGGGTTGGGGCTGTAAAGCTTGCGGGCGGGATGGGAGGGATGCAGTGATCCCGGTGTTGACCAGATCTCGGTCTCCCTCCTCAGGCCGTGCTTTGGTGGATTATCGATCTCTGAAGTTCCTCCTGCAGCAGCTGCCAGGCCTGTCCTGGCTTGCTACTCTCACCCCTGGATTCATCAAGGTCCCCAAGTGGGTCCTAACCCTGGCTGGCAGCAAATTCTAAATCCATCCCTCGCTGTTCGCTCCCCTCAAGCTACTCCTCGTGCCTCCATCCTACTGCGCCTGCTCAGGCGCTCTCCTGGCAGTCTCGGGGCGGGGGGAGGGTGGCTAAGTCGGGTGGGCGCCTCAGAAAATGTGCCGGTCCACCCACCCTATGCCCCACACCCCTGCCCAACTCAGCTTACGACATCGTCACTGATGCCTTAAGAGGGCGATAGAACAGCCGCTGTCGCCCCCCCCCCCCCCCGGCTTTGATAATCCACGAACAATCCAGTTTTCCTTGGGGCCCTTCACTTTAACACAAGACCACCACTGCACCAAGGAGGGTGCTAACAGTGAGGGATAGGGAAGCCCCCTGTCACTAAAATATTTCTGAACCTGTGTGAGCGATCAGACTCAACGGCCTGAATCAAAAATCATGGTGGAATCATAGCATCCGTACGTGTGGAAACAGGCCATTCGGACCATCGAGTCCGCACCGAGCCCCCCCCCCGAAGAGCAAACCAGACCACCCACCTACCGTATACCTGTAACGCTGCACTCCCCATGGCTAACCCACCCTAATCCGCACATCCCTGGGCACTATGGGTAATTTCCCATGGCTAACCCGCACATCCCTGGGCACTATGGGTAATTTCCCACGGCTAATCCACCCTAACCTGCACATCCCTGGGCACTATGGGTAATTTCCCATGACTGACCCACCCTAACCCGCACATCCCTGGGCACTATGGGTAATTTCCTGAGGGTTAAATTCTGAGGCAGCAGTGCTCACTCTTTAAATAAAAACCGAAAGAGCTGTGGATGCTGTAAATCAGGAACAAAAGCAGAAGTTGCTGGAAAAGCTCAGCATCTCTGGCAGCACTTGTGAAGAATAAATCAGAGTTTCGACATGAGGAAGGGTCACCGGACCCGAAACGTTAACTGATTTTTTTTCTTCACAGTGTTTGCTAACTCTCTCTTCTCCCTATCTTGCCACCACTTTTCCTGCTCCCACCCCTGGTCATATTCTCTGGGGTCGGGAACTGATCCCCGCAGCTACTTCCTCAGCTGGCTTGCGCATTGTGAGATTTTCCTTTGCAATAAAATGGATTTAAACCTCCCGGCATTGTTGGTCAGTTGCATGGTCTGCTGCCTTAGCTGCCTGGTACGGGGTGGGGGGGCCTGCGCCGCATTCCCTATGTTCATCCTGGGGGGCGTGTGCAGGAATATCTCCGTTTCACCGACAGAAGCAAAGCATTTCAGCCGAGCGGTTGCCGGTCTGGAGTTCACTGCCTGAAGGTGCAGTGGAAGAAGGTGGGTCGTTCGCTGTGTTCAGATGGCTGTCCGGGAACTGCATGAGGAGCGCGATGCCGACTGAACTGTCCCCTCGGAGAGCCAGTGCCGGGCCGAAGGGTCTCCTCCCGTGCTGTGACCGTTCTGTCATTCTGTCTGAGCCCTGACCCATTGGGCGTCACTCTCGCCCCTTGCGGGAGAAGATCGTGAGATCAAGACCCGGTCTCTTGTGGCCCCCAACTCCCTCAGGTCCCCACAAATCCAGGACTGACCTTCCCAGGCCCAGTACCGGGGAAAGCCCACCCTGTTGGAGGGTGTGATGATAAACCAGAGGCCCCTGCAAAGACAAGCAGGAAGAATTCTCCCTGGGACAACATCTGAAAGGGAAAAGGTGATCTGGGCATTATTGCTTCATTTGTGGGATCGTTCTGTGCACAATTAGCTATTCTCTATCGTTCTTTCCTACACTCGCTAATTTATTTAAAAAGTGTTCCTTTGACTGCAGTGCTATGCAAACCTTTATCAGAACAATAGCTAGGTTCCAAGGGTTAGATTATGAGGAGAGATTACACAGAACAAGGTTGTTCCCTGGAAATGAGAAGGTTAAGGTTCAGTTTGATCAAAGTTTGCAACATATTAAGGCAATCTGATGAGGTGGAGCAGGGGAGAGAGCAATCATTTCTGCTAGTTCAAGGGAATGTGGTGTGACTGTGGGGGCACAGTGTACCAATGAGACCTTTCAATAAAATAGGCCGAAAGGCCTCTTCTGTTCTGACTCCGTGACTGTCTATAAATTCAAAGAAGCATCCCCGCAGGCAAAGTGTGGGAGAGGTTTCACAAGCTAACAGCAATTAATGTGCCATCAATTGTTAATTTTAAATCTCTGATCGATGACTTTGGTTAATTTGGGTCTATGGACTTAGGTCACAGATTAGTTATCTTGCTGATTGGCTGAACAGTCTTGAGATGCCGAATGGCCTCATAGAGTCGTACAGCACGGAAACAGACCCTTCAGTCCAACTGGTCCATGCTGACCCAGATATCCTAAATTAATCCAGTCCCATTTGCCAGCATTTGGCCTCTATCCCTCCAAACCCTTCCTATCCATGTCCCCATCCAGATGCCTTTTAAATGTTGTAACTGTACCAGCCTCCACCCACTTCCTCTGGCAGCGCGTTCCATACACACACCACCCTCTGCATGAAAAAGTTGCCCCTCAGGTCCCTTTTAAATCTTTCCTCTCTCACCTTAAACCTACGGCCCTCTAGTTTTGGACTCCCCCCACCCTGGGGGAAAAGACCTTGGCTATTCACCCTATCCATGCCCCTCATGATTTTATAAACCTCTAAGGTTACCCCTCAGCCTCTGATGCTCCGGGGAAAATAGTGCCAGTTGGTTCAGCTTCTCCCTGTAGCTCAAACACCCCCAACCCTGGCAACATCCGTGTAAATCTTTTCTGCACCCTTTCAAGTTTCACAACATCCTTCCTATAGCAGGGAGACCAGAATTGATGCCAAAAGTGGCCCAACATGACATCCCAACTCCTATACTCAATGCACTGACCAGTGAAGGCAATACAGGCTCCTCCTGTACCTGTGTAACATGCTGGAGAAGAGGGCCGAATGGCCCCCTCCTGTATCTGTGTAACAGGCTGGAGAAGAGGGCCAAATGGCCTCCTGTACCTGTGTGGAACATGGTATGAAACTGCGAGAATGAAAGACACCATTTATTTATTTATACATTTTTAAAACGAAGGCACAGTCCAAAAGAGAATCTCAAATGGAATGACAGGTTACCTCCCGATGGCACTAAATATGAAGACAGTAAAGAGACAGTGAGCGGTGTTGATGGATCGGTGTTAAGGACAGACCTGATGAAAGATTAATTCTCTCAAATCCGACTACCCAAAGGTCTGCACTCAACCACTAGCAGAAGTATTTGCTGCTTTTGTCACAGCAGAACACGCACACACCAGAAAGAGACTCTCAGACAGCGAGGCCAACTGGACACTGACCCAGGTTGAACCCAGCTCATAATGACCTGCCTGACGTGACATAGATTGAAGCACCCTCTCCGACCTCAGTAGCTAATACAGCGGATATTTCTGTGCAGGGTGGAAAAATAACATCTCGATTGTGGTGCACAAGTGAAAAGAAAACATGAAAGCCTTCATACAACTGGCAATGGATATCCTCTGTGCAAGCAGTAGATTTAAAATCGATCGTCAAAAGAAGTATGCCAGTATTGGGTAGCCACGCAAAACAATGGAAACACAATTCACCTCTATAGCCAAGGAAGAGTAATTATTTTGGCAGTTGGATGGAAATGTGTCAATGCGAAAGCCAAGTGCTGTTTACATTGTAAAGTTTTACGCTGGATGTGTCGTTCAGGAAGGAAGAAACTGGATATCCAAACAAGAGGTGACGAGTTAGAGCATTGGTTCCCAGCCTTTGCAGTATCAGGGGTACGCACGCTGCACATCCCTTCTCCTGCACGTTTGCAGTGATGAATGTCAGTAGTTACCACCCTCAGTAATAGTCAGCGAAACTCCAGAGGAGACTGGATGTGAATATTTTGCACTTTGTCACCAGTTGCAAACCCACTCAGGGAGATGATCAAGTGGATTGGACAGAGGAGTGTGAGAGAGAGAGAGAGTGCTGTTGACTGAGCTGATTTTGATGAAGCAAGTCACTGCCCCACTGAATATTTCTACACCCCACACTCGAATATGGTTCTTGTTGGTTAAAATAAAAAAGAGGTTCACAAATCTCCGGGAGTAAGGCAATTGGAAGCGAGTGCAGTAGGATGAAGTTATATCAACAGGTTTGCCAAGTCACATACAGGGATAGATGTTTTCAGCTGAGAAAATGACATTTTTTGTGTGTGTGTTACATCCCAAAGAGCTGCTGAAAAGCAGAGACGGCGAGTTTGAAAGATGCAAAAGGGTAGGATTGGTTCTGGTCATGTGGCATCTGTATGTTGAGGTGTCTCAGAGAAGGCCAAGATGTTTCAAGAGAGTAAGTGCATCATGAACTGGGAATTACAAACCAGTTAGTCTTACTTCTCAGATAGTAGGAACTGCAGATGCTGGAGAATCCGAGACAACAAGGTGCAGGGCTGGATGAACACAGCAGGCCAAGCAGCATCATAGGAGCAGAGAGGCTGACGTTTCGGGCCTAGACCCTCTGATTCAATTTTAACCCCACTGCGAAGCCTCTTCTAAGGATGCCTAGCCTGAAGAAGTTACCCTCCTCCCTCCGGACAAACCTCAAGGGATCTCTCTCCCACTCCAACTCTCTCGTAATCTCTTATCCCTCTTCTATCCGCCTCCCACTCTCTCCCTATTTATTTCGGAACCCCCTTCCCCTCCCCCTTTTCTGATGAAGGGTCCAGGCCCAAAACGTCAGCCTCTCTGCTCCTATGATGCTGCTTGGCCTGCTGTGTTCATCCAGCCCTGCACCTTGTTGTCTTACTTCTGTGGTGGGCAAATTATTGGTGAGGATTCTGAGAGATAGTATTTATGATTATTTGGAAAAGCACAGTTTGGTTAGAAATAGTCAGCATAGCTTTGTGAGGGGCAGGTCATGCCTCACAAGCCTTATTGAATGCTTTGAGGATGTGACAAAACACATTGATGAAGGTAGAGCAGTGGATGTGGTGTATATGGATTTTAGCAAGGCATTTGATAAGGTTCCTCATGGTAGGCTCACTCAGAAAGTAAAGAGGCATGGGATTTAGGGAAATTTGGCTGTCTGGGTACAAAACTGGCTGTCCAATAGAAGACAGAGGGTGGTAGTAGATGGGAATTATTCAGCCTGGAGCTCGATGACCAGTGGTGTTCCGCAGGGATCTGTTCTGGGATCTCTGCTCTTTGTGATCTTTATAAATGACTTGGATGAGGAAGTGGAAGGGTGGGTTAGTAAGTTTGCCGATGACACGAAGATTAGTGGAGTTGTGGACAGCGTGGAGGGCTGTTGTAGGTTGCAACGGGACATTGACAGGATGCAGAGCCGGGCAAAGAAGTGGCAGATGGGAATTCAACCCGGAAAAGTGTGAAGTGATTCATTTTGGAAGGTCGAATTTGAATGCAGAATACAGGGTTAATGGCAGGATTCATGGGAGTGTGGAGGAACAGAGGGATCTTGGGGTCCACGTCCGTAGATCCCTCAAAGTTGCTACCCAAGTTGATAGGGTTGTTAAAAAGGCGTATGGTGTGTTGGCTTTCATTGGCAGGGGAATTGAGTTTAAGAGCCGCGAGGTTATGCTGCAGCTCTATAAAACTCTAGTTAGACCACACTTGGAATATTGTGTTCAGTTCTGGTCACCTCATTATAGGAAGGATGTGGAAGCTTTAGAGAGGGTGCAGAGGAGATTTACCAGGATGCTGCCTGGACTGGAGGGCAGGTCTTATGAGGAAAGGTTGAAGGAGCTAGGGCTTTTTTCATTGGAGCGAAGAAGGATGAGAGGTGACTTGATAGAGGTACAAGATGATGAGAGGCATAGATAGAGTGGATAGCCAGAGACTTTTTCCCAGGGTGGAAATGACTATTACGAGAGGGCATAATTTTAAGGTGATTACAGGAAGGTATAGGGGAGATGTCAGAGGTAGGTACTTCACACAGAGAGCGGTGGGCGTGTGGAATGCGCTGCCGGCAGTGGTAGTGGAGTCAGATACTTTAGAGACTTTTAAGCGACTATTGGATAGGCACATGGAGGATAGTAAAATGTAGGGTATGCAGGGTAGTTTGATCTTAGTAGGATAATAGGTCGGCACAACATCGTGGGCCGAAGGGTCAGCACTATGCTGTACTGTTCTACGTTCTATGATGTTAA